ATGTAATAAGAAAGACAAAGATTATCAGGTGTTGTATAAAAGTGTAAAAGGGTGCATACTAACGTTTATTGAAGTTTTAGCCATACGAAAATTCAAACCCGCTTTGTGTGTTCAAAAACAGTTTGTTCTTACCTTAAACCTACCCTGGTAATATTGACTTATTATCCAGAGTGATTAGGTTTTGAATTGTGTTCACATTATTATTATTATTATTATTATTATTATTATTATTACTCTTATCATTATCCTTATCTCCTCTTACCCCGTTCTCAGTCTAGTTGACCTTTTATTTTTTTTTATATATAAATGCTCTTAACAAGTATATGTGTGACCAGATTGTTCGAAATGTATTGCGCCAAAATATCACATAGTTCTGATAATCTTCGTCTTCTAATTACATTATCGAAGTAAATCTTAATACGTTATTATTATTATTATTATTATTGGAATCAGTGAATTTTTCTCATAGAATCAAAACACTTAAAATCAATATCTTTGTCTAGACAATTTCTAAAGAAGTTGTTAGTGTGTTTTAAATAATAAATTATAAGTGTTATTTGTGTTTCTGTACAACAATTCACTTATTATAATTCATATTATGAGTTTTCTCTTTAATTGTAAAGTTATTTTGGGGTATACTTTAACCATATATATATACCTATCAAGGTTTATTGATTTATTGGGATTGCCAGTATAAAGTAGAGTAGGTTTTTAATCAGGAAATTATTATTATTATTATTTCATAAGTAATACAGTGTGAAGTAATTTTGTTTTTTCAAAACGTTTTATCAACTCAAATGATACATAAATTCAATTTAATTAAAACTAAAATCATTTCATATTGAAAATAGAATTCTTAATTATTAAAGATCAGAAGTACATAATGCTGAAAGAAAAATTAAAAACATAAATGAAAATTGTTTTTTTTATATATAAAATGTAATTTTTGTTTTCTAAATAATACTAGTACTGATAATAAAAAGTCAGTCAGTCAGTCAGTAACAACATAGAACTTCGTACCTACGTACATCAGTTCGAGTTGCCACACCACATTAACACAGCGATGCAATTGTCGACCCGAATACCGTAGTGGTAGAGGTAGTAAGAGTATAAGCAGTAATCGGAAACATTAGGGCTTGAAGCAGATAATAAACAATGTTAATACTATAGAAGTTTTATGTTTCGATAAGCCAAAAACAAAATTTATGATTTATATTTTAAGGTTATTGATTTATTGTGATTGGAAATGTAAAAAAGAAAAAAATCAGAAAATTTAAGTATTCAAAAATTTATGTAAGATATTATTGATATAAATGGAATAAGAGAACATAAAAGTATATTGGCAAATTTTCTATGAGGGATCGATACTTACTTACTTACTTATTTACGCCTGTTACTCCTCGTGAAGGAGCATAGGCCGTTCACCAGCATTCTCCATCTAACCCTGTCCTAGGCAATCCTTTCCAGCTCCTTCCGGTTTTTATTCATCCTTTTCATATCCGCTTCGATTTCCCGACGTAATGTGTTCTTTGGCCTTCCACTTTTTCTCTTCCCTTCAGAATTCCAAGTTAGGGCTTGCCTCGTGATGCAGTTTGACGATTTGCGTAATGTATGTCCTATCCATTTCCATCATCTTTTCCTAATTTCCTCTTCAGTTGGAAGCTGATTTGTTATCTCCCAGAGAAGGCTGTTGCTGATGGTATCCGGCCAATGGACGTTGAGTATATTGCGTAGACAACCATTTATAAATACTTGTACTTATATCATAATTATTGATATGCTTATCGATGAGGGATCGATAAGCATATCAATAATTATGATATTTATTCTGTACATAAAAAGGAGATATTAGTAGTCAATTAATTATTATTCTTTGATTAAAATTTGTTTACTATTAACAAATGGACATGTGATAATAATAATAACATAATAAATTATTTTTTTAATTTCTTTCTTTTTCAAACCGTAGATAAAACAGTATTTTTTTGATAAAAAAATAAAGTTGATAGAGGTTACACTAATTAGTATCTAGATAAAAAAACTAATGTTCATTAATCTCATTTGTAGCAATAAATGATCTTGTAGTTTTGTTCAATTTATTTTATAATGGATAGTTATATCAAGGAGGTAGTTGATATTTGAAAAAAGAAACGTTAAATATCATTTTAGTATTTCATATAAAAATGATACTTTGTGATTTAAACTAACAAAGTTTGTTGTTGTTATTGCTAGATCATGTTAAACCATCATCGAAAATCTAGAAGCAATGTACGGCTGTTTCATCATAGTATGAGACAATTCAACAGTACATATCAACGACACCGGATGCAAGAATCGGACTCAGGACATTCGGTCTTGCGCGCCAACCTGAGGCTTTCTGACCACTGAGTCAGCGCCCATATGTGTGAATATCTAATTTTAAACAATCCACGACGTTTTATGACCATTTTCTATTGTCACTGGTGAATAACCACCTCACACCCCATACGGTTGAACTACACTGGTCAATGAAACTCAAAAATCTCCACAATCTAATAATGATAATTATCATGTGCTCACTAATGACTAGCTTCAAGAGAAAGTTTCCGGAGTTATAGTAAGAAGCCAGAACTTGTAGAGGTACTTCTATTTGAAGTTTGTGTTGATGATGTCGTTCAGAAGAACGATGAAAGCTCAACGACCAAACCATTGAGCTCAGACAACAAAACTCCATCAAAATAGTAGAGGTACACCTTATGGGATGCGTGGCATTTACCCATAAAAAACAATGAGAGGCGGTTGAACAATATCATGAACTGATTGGACTTAGACATTAACACCATTTTGTGCCAAGTCAGTTGTCCAGAGCCTAAGCGGTTACACACGAGATTAAAGGTCTTGTGCTCGAGCCACGCACACAGGATCGTGGATGTGCACTGTTGAGAAATCTAATACTAGGACGAGACGGCGTTCACAGAGTTGAGGTTTTCAGAGGTGGTCTAACATTGATTGGTTCATGATTTCAGTGAAATTCAGCAATCTCCACAATTCTATACGAATGATATTGTATGCTGAATTGAGGAAATAATAAATCTAGTGATATCGTATACATACAGACTGAGAAAAGGAAAGAGCCTTTACCTGTTTAGAACATAATATTAAAAATGTATCAAACTTTCAGTTATGTATAATTTGTAACAATGTCTGTTTGAGAGTTTCATTAGTATGTTGATTGTTTTTATCGAGTCGAATGCAAATGTAAATTCTAGTTGTTTGCTGTATTCGCTATATCATTATGAGGTATATTAGGATACAAGATCCATCAATTACTCAGTTATTATTATGTTATACAGCATTAGTTCTTCTAACATATTTCATGTGGTGAATTATATCATTTCATGAAGTTATAATTCTACGTTAAACGTTTAAATTAAATGACTTTACTATTAACCTTTTTAATTAAATAATGAAAAAAATTAGGGATGTACTACTATGAGTTTATTCTTATCTTATGATTCATAGTGCTTTTATAATTCCTACTTAACATATAACACAAATCCCAACCTTAAACAGATCCATTCAAACAATCGTACGGTTTAACATCTTGTGACTTTTAAAACTCAAAAAGTAATTTTTTCTAGATGAAACTCACGATTATGTTAAAGTTTACACTTAATATTCAAAATACTTGAGTTGCATACCTACATACATTACGTTTCGCATTGATAATATCAGAAAATTTTGAAACGATTTTACATTGATTGAAATCATGAGCCAATTGAAGCTAGACCACCATGGAAAACCTAGAAGCACTGGACGGCCGTTTCCTCCTAGTATGGGACTCCTCAGCAGTGCGCATCCACGATCCCGCACCCCGTGAGATTCGAACCCAGGACCTATCAGTCTCGCGCCAGGCGCTTAACAAACTAGACCACTAAGGAGTCCCATACTAGAAATAAACGGTCGTCCAGTGCCTCCAGATTTTCCATGGTGGTCTAGCTTCAATTGACTCATGATTTCAATCAGTGAAATTTCTAAACTCCCCACAAAACCCCTTCCGATATTTTACACTTTTCAGTCTATGAGTTGTCCAATTTTTAATGAAACTAGGTATATATATGTAAATTAACCAAATAATAAAGTCGGTGATTGTAAAGCTTGCTCAAAATGTTTATTATATCGGAAAAGCAATGTCACTGACTATTGTGTGTTTTTCGCTTGGATATCCGCTGTAGATAACTTAACAATATTCTTAAGCAAAATGATAAACAATAATGTTCATCAAAGAGAGACAAATTAATTCCTATAAACAAGTGCTTCTTCGAATTTTTATGTTAGTTCACCTCAGATACAGTCACAAGTTAGTTACACAATCAATACATCGATTGTAATATACATGATACTGGACAGACCATCATGATAAATTAATTGTAGATTTGTAAACAAACGTGATGCTCAGATAGTATTACCTGGAACTTCTTCTTAAGTCATAAATTCATTGAAATGTCAAGTGACTGTCATCTAGAAATCCTCGATATGATACCAAACATTATTCACAGGTATTTATTCATCTAAATCTTGATTGCATCCATAAATGTGTAAAATCAGAAAATGTGTCTGTTTTTGTTGGAAAGAATAACAAACTAAATGTACAATACAAAGATATCAAGGATATTTTGAAAATTGAACATTTTCTTAAGTAAAGAATATTTTTAACCGCATTATTCAATCATTAATTTTATTTCCATGACTAAATACAATGAAAATTTACGAATATATCTAGTAGGTACTCAATCACTTTATGCTCCAAAGAATAAATGATGTTCGGTTAATTTAGAACCCAGTGATTAAATATTATTGTATACATCTAGTGAGTAATATATTGCCTTAGTTAGTTATTCATTCACACAAAATAATCAACATTTTTAAAACATTTTATTTTGTTTACTGTGGAAAGTTGTTAAACCATAGCATATTTGAATCTTTTATGATAAATATTTACGTTTTTTTTCATGTGACAGGCTGAACTAGGTGAAATACACCGGGAAAATATTAAACCATTTCAAGAAGTACAATCAACAGTTGATGTTGGTATTCAAACTTTAACATGTTCCTTAGAAGAAGAAGAAGAAGAATTGATTCATCAAAGAAATTGTACACATTTAACACAATCCAAAGAGATAACAACAAATTTATGCAGTTCTAGTGTTCAAACATATGATGAAAATTTAAAAAGTACATGTGATTTTCAAGTACAAACAGACTTCAATCATAATTTATCTTCGATAAGAATTGATCAACATTACAATAACAGAAGTTTACAACTTTTAAATGTTAGTTTAATTAAACTTGTTCATGCATTACGTGTGGAATTAGATTCAGCTCAAAATGAATTATACATGAGAAATGGAAAATAAGTTTATTATTCCTAAATAATGAAGATTATCAACTATTTATTGACTTATTTAATTAAATAAATGAATTTATGAACTATGTAAAACATGTTTTTATACTATTACCAGAATAATAAATCATAAGCCTATAAAAAGAAGGTAAAATATATTACACGTAATGTCATAAACTACTTTTAAACATATAAGTAAACTGGAGTATGAATATAAAAATAGATTTTTATGTTATGTGGATTAACTAATTATAAAACAATTAAAATACAATTTTTATTTTGTTTGCAGCTAAACGAGGAAAGCTTCTAAATCTCTTTTAGAACTTGTATTTACATATCAACCTCTCACTTTGTATAGAGTTTCCAAATGATTACAGGGAGCTTATGTTACCCTATGTTGTCAGCTATCAAATAAACTCAAGACCAATAATTTTATAGAGTTTATCTTAATGCTGATGAAAATGGAAAGTTTATATACATTATTTATAACTTTCAATGCCGTCCCAGTTGTATATTGTAGGCATATCTAATCAGATTTTTCCAATACGTATCATGTTAGGGACATGCATAAACACATTTAACAATAAGCAAAGATGGATAGTGGCTAGCAGTGGAATCCAGGACGCGCGTTTCGTCCTGTTTGGGACTCGTCAGCTGGATGTACCTGCATCTCAGAGTTGATGTTCACTCTGGGACTCGAACTCAGTACCGTTCGCTTCAAACGCCATCGCGTTATCCACTAAGCTACTGAGTCCTGATAGCCACTTGCTTGTGCAATGGGTTGAAGTTGAATTCACTTGATATTGTTTTACTTGAATCTTCCCATTGATGTTTTAGGACTGAAATTGATCAGTCTCCTATTGGCATATGTGCATACTGTGCGTATGCCTCGATATTGCCTTAATTTACAAGAATTAACAATGAAATTCTGAATCTGGTGGCCCGCTTGAATATCTAGGCTACCTGTTCCTGTCATACAGATCATTCAACAAGTTATCTTTCTTTGCTTGTTTTAATAAATCATCATGTCTATCAATCGTCTAACCTATTCAGATGCGTTTATGAAAGATTTACAACTTTTCGCCGTACAACATACAAAAAAAGTACAATCCGAGACATCGTAGTGTCTGGAAGTATGCATTGAAAAGAATGAACATCACTCAGATGTCGATTCCTGAAATGCTAACAGCCAACTGTCTTCGATTCATACTAAGTCTAAACACGTATCATAATTCTGGTATAACCATAATTCAACAATCCTGACCAAATGATTTATAAGACGACTGTTCATTATCACGACAAGATTTCAATATTTGTCATTAGGATCGATCAAGCAATAAGAAAATAAAACTTCTTGAAATACTCTGTGCTGAGAACTCCATATTGTGTCAAAAATATAATACTGAATAAAGTCATTAATAGTAATGATTATATAGTCTAAATAAATGAATTGAGTGTCATAATAAACTAGGGAATAAGTGAATAAAACTGTACTGTGCTGTGAACTTTGAGCAAATCATTAGTCAATAGGAAAAGTGTTTAGTTATAAATCAATGAATAATTAAAAAAAGTAAGTTTGATAATCCGCTTCATCATAATTAGTGACCAAAAACGGTTAGGGTTAGGAATTCGAAGTCTAAGAAGAGTCAGGAGTTATGGTCAAGGAATGAAATAACGGTTTTTACCGCAAACTGATACCATTTATAACTATAATTCCATCTTTTTACGGTTATTTATTGGGGTTATGGGGACTAGGCTTACTAGTCATGGTTAAAGTGAGTGTGTACTTTTTAGCTTTACAAGCATCCCTCACAATTCTTCGAATCACATCAAGTACACCCAGTGTGTTATCTGCATATTTGGGGTCAGCTATAAGGAATTATTAGCTGAGCTCTAGTTAAGAAATGAGCCGACCATCACTGCGTTTCAGATTTTACGCGAAATCCAGTAATCCCTTTTTTAACTGTGATGATTCGCAAAAGGGCATTAGTGTTGTACCGTTTTATCTATTTGTTATTATACTATAACATTAATAAGTTTCTCTACTTCAGTATAGATGTTGTATCGAACTGTTCGTTTTAAATAATTCCAAGATGTTGATCGATACATAGCATCAGCTATTGTATGAAATTGAAAAACCATTGTAATTGTAATTGAATAATCTTTTTATGAATATGTAATGTTCTACAGATTCTTTATGAATAACAGAGAGAATTAACATTGTCAACCAAATATAGTCCGTTCCGTTTTTTATTTGTATGTTTACATCTATCTCGAAGCCATAGTAACAATCAACTTATTTAGGTAACATTAATAGAAAAAAGATGCAGGAATGTCATTATACGTCGTTTTAACACAGATTAAAATAAATAAGATGCGGAAAGTTACTATTATGCAACGGTTGTGTCTAGACATTTGGACGAAATGAAACTATAAATCTTCTTCCTTATTATGTTGAAGATGCAAAATATTATTCCTTGAAGCTGTAACAAGTTTGTATTGGGTTCAATAAAGTAAGAACATAAAATGAGGACACGGTGGATATAAGCTTTATCGAAAATATTCATCGTAGCTGAATTCAGGATTTTTCACCTTCATAACTATTTAAAACTAAGATACCAACTCATTGTCGACCAGGATTATTCAACCAACGGCTTCTCCTTTTCAGTTCTTCACATTCGTTATTCATTCTCTTGATGTTTACTTTCAATCCCTATGCAATGTGTTATTTGATCTGCCACTATATTTTTTACTTTCAGGATTAAAAGCTTTGGCTTGTCTCGTGATGGAGTTTAATGAATTCTACGATGCCTCCTATCCACCTTCATTGTCTTTTCATAATTTCCTCATCAGTCAGAAGTTGGTTAGTTCTATTCCAGAGTACATTGTTGCTGGTGGTATCCGATCAACGGATATTTAGTATATTATGCATATAAATTTTTATAAATACTTGTGCGTTTTTGATGATGGTTGTGGTAGTCCTCCAAGTTTCAGCCCGGTATAGTAGAACTGTCTTGACGTTCGTATTGAAGATTCTGACTTTGATGGTGGTTGACAGCTGTTTAGAGTTCCATATGTTCTGCATCTGATCCTCCTTCTTCACCAATGATGCTGCTCAGGTGTGTGAAAGTTTCCACCTCTTCCAGAGCTTCCCCATCAGGTCGCATAAACACTTATTTTTCATGGGATTGTGTAATAATATGATGATATTTATATATGATTCTATGATCTCTGTTGTGTAACGTCTTTGCTACATCACATCACTCAGCAAACATTCGGGAAATATAAAACCAGTTATAAAACTATTTTCAGTATCATAATGAATCCAGAACGGCAGTAATGAAAACCCTAATGTTGCAATTATTCTAAATGTGATTATAGACCTTAGACATATCTCAAACCAAACCGAAGAAAAAATAAAGTTTTGTTTTATTATAACTTAACTGTGTATTGTATAGGTAATTGAAAAGAATGAAACTCTTGAAATCCCTTTGATTATTGTTAAGGGTCACCAATATAATTCAACTCTACTAGTAATTTATATATACTAGTGACGTATAATATCTTCAGAAATGTCATTATCATTACTCAGTGTCTAATGATTAATTATATAGACTAATGAAATGAAACAGAAGAGAAATTAATAACGAATAAGTTTTTATTACGATTATTATTGGTGGTGAAAAAGATATTTGATTCTTTTATTTTTAAAAAAAAATTGGTTTAATAAGTTTAACTGGATAGTTACTGTCGTGAAGTACTTACTTACTTACTTACGCCTGTTACTCCTAATGGAGAATAAGCCGCCGACCAGCATTCTCCAACCCACTCTGTCCTGGGCCTTCTTTTCTAGTTCCATCCAATTCTTGTTCATTTTTCTCATGTCTGTCTCCATTTCCTGGCGTAATGTGATCTTTGGTCTTCCTATCCTCCTTTGGCCTTGAGAATTCCATGTGGGGGCTTGCCATGTGACTCAGTCGGGTGCTTTCCTCAATCTGTGTCCTCTCCACCTCCAACGCTTCTTCCTGATTTCTTCCTCCACTGGGATCTGATATGTTCTCCCCCACAAAAGCTTGTTGCTTATATTGTTCTGGCCAACGACTCCGAAGTATTTTGCGTAGACAGTTGTTAACAAACACTTGTATCTTCTGGATGATGGCTTTCGTAGTTCTCCAGGTTTCTGCTCCATACAGTAGAACTGTCTTGACATTTGCATTGAAGATGATGGCCTTGGTGTTGGTTGACAGTTGCTTTGAGTTTCAGATGTTCTTCAGTTGTAAATGTGCTGCTCTTGCTTTTCCGACCCTTACCTTCACATCTGCATCAGATCCACCGTGTTCGTCAATGATCCTGCCCAAATATGTAAAGGTTTTTACATCTTACTGTCGTGAAGTACAATAGCAATTATTAGGACAGCTTACAATATAGAATTAAACAAGAAGTTTGTCATGGCATTTAGTTGACAATTAAGTTTTATAAACTATTTAACAGAGTATAACTTTAATCACATTGTGAATTTAGTCTAACTATTATATCAACACATGGTTCACTTTAAAAATTTCATTTCTATCTTTGGTTATAATTAAATTCACCAATAGCAATTTCCGTTTATATGACAACTATTGGTTGCATTAATTCTCAATTTCTTTGTACATAAATTTTGTTGGATAATTTCATCATAATAGTGTTTCATAATCATGAGTTTTATACTAACAGTACTGGATGATGATTTTATCTACTTATTGACAACCATAGTGACTGGCTTTGTAAAAAAAATGGTGTAGGAACTAGATTTATTAGTTGATATGGTAGGTAGATTCATTCATTGATATGAATTTAATTAAAATAAACTAAGATATATTCTGATTTACTGATGATTCATGACATTATACTATTGAAATCCGCTTCCAAGTTTCGTAAATTAGTCACAAAATTGGTTATGATTATGTGTGCAGAAAAATGCCGCTTGACATCATATATATAATACACTACGTAACTACATGTTTTTGACGCTTCCGTCTTCTGTCGCGATCAATGTTATAGAATGGTTTTCTTCATATGATATTGCTGGCCATGCTCTGTGTAGGTATGTAGACTTTTGATCAGTTCGGAAATCTAAAGATAAAATTTCTAATCTTGTTATCATTTTGTGGTGAAAATTAGCTTCAAATTAATAGGTAGAGTGAATAAAAAAAATTATGGTTGAAGCAATTAGAGTATGGATGATT